CTCTGCCCGCGCTCGCTGGGCGGGAGAGGGTGGGGAGAGGCGGCGGGGATCCTACTGCGCCCGCCGGGCTCCGGACCGTACCACTGGGGGTCGGGGGAGCGGGGGAGATCGGCCACAGCCTCCCGAGCCCGTCCGCCTCTCGCTCCGCCCGGCGGTGTCTGCTCACGTAGTCCCTCCCCCAGGCGCGGAGTCTCTCCCAAGCCTCCGCCGGCGGGGAGGAGGTGCGCTGGCTGCGGTGCCAGCTTGTGACCTCCTGCCACCCTTTGCCTTTCAGCTGCAAAGTAGCCTCCAGTCTTCTGACTTGGGCACTGGATGGGCGGGCGAGAGGAAAGTGGGATGCCCTGGCTTAAGTTCCCTGGAGCGGGGGAAGGGGATGCGAGTTCCTCGCCTGGGGGACTTATACCGGATTCACCCCGAGCTGCGCTTGCTGCTCGCCCTGCCCGCCAGCAACACGCTGGAAGACCCGCAGTCTAGGGAGTTGATGATCCTCCTGCCGGTGTCCGGGTGTGTTTTACCAGTTCATCCCCTGCGTCCTGCTTAAGCTCTGAAATTGCCATAAAACTAACCTGTTGGCCCAGGTAGTTCACAAAAGACTTATATTTTGAGGTTGGTGCTTTTAGTAAAAGCTCTGGAAAGTTGGGTGCAGTCTTTTCATCAGGAGAGGGGAGTGGGCTCTCAGTATAAAAATCTATCTGGGTGCTAAAATCTCCATATCCTAGAAAATGTAACACTATCTTTTATTTTGTGTAATGAGACTGCGAGCAAGTCATCAAAACAAGTACAAAATTTTTCGCTTGTTTCTCATTTCGCTTTCATGATAGAATGAAAGGCTTGGTGCCAGTTCGGGGGAGTTGCTGAGCTGCAGCGGTAGGAAAAACTGAACTAGCAGCAGTTTGGTTCTTCCTTCATTTTTGCTGTCTTCCAACAGGGATCCAGTGCCCGAGGACTGCATATGGAGGTCTTTCACCTCCTGAAGGGAGAGGTTTGACCCCAGAGAGAGGTGATTATCACTAAAGTCTTAGGAAAAAATGGAATAAAATCTGCTAATAGCATCTTATTTGCATTTGCGGTATTTCCCTTGCTTCCTGAGGGTAGCATTTGCTAATCAGAGCACCCTCCTACATTAATGCCCAGTGAGGCAGTTAATACATATTTATGAGGAGCCTCTCTAAGTGGCTGTCAGAGTCTGGGATTAGAACAAAGGAATCATATTTCTAGCATTCTATCTATCTCAGTGGACTATCTCAGTGGAATAGGACTCGAAGTGCGTGCTTCGGTGATGGTCGTGGTTTAAAAGCGTGGGCTTCTAGGAGTGAAGTATGAACGCAGCCTTATCAAGAATGACCTTCCTGGCCATTTTTATTTTTTCCAAGACCCAGGATCTCCTGACATAAAACAGATTTCTTCTGGCTTGATGAACATGAGTTTGAAATAAATTAAAGTGCTAAGTGAAGTAGGGAAAGACAAACATATGTATATATATATATATATATATAATATATACATGTGTATATAATAAACTTTAAAATTTAGCAACCAGAACCAGGAATTGGGGAAAATGTAGTATTTTTCTGGTTAATATTTTAGGGTCAATTCTATATAAAGCCAGAGCTAGATTTAATTTTTATTCAAAACCAATGTTGAGCAGCATGACAGTACTTGAGCATGAGCAATCACCTTTGTAATTCCTAATGGGCCCTCAAATGAGGTTCCATTCTGCTTACTTACAAATAGTAATTATCTAAAGGAAGTTCAGAGGTTGCCTCTGTTTTCCATTGACCAATGTCTTTTATATGTGTCCCATTAAAATGCATCAGCAAAGTGGACAGCATAGGTCATTTATTCAGCACATGAAAACGGCTTTTCATACAGAAAACAGTGTATAATATAGTCTGTAGCTTATGGACATGTCCCCAGACTTTGCTATCACTTCATCCGTATAGAAAGGGTATCCTACTCTTTCTCTCTTTTTTTTTTTTTTTTTTTTTTTTGGGGGGGGGGGGACCTCCAAAGACTTCTTCCTGATTGCTAGAAATCACACATATTTTTATTGGTGCAAAAACTTTATGAGCTGAGTATTGTGCTAGTCTGCATCTCCTTGATTTCAACTCTCAGACCTTCTCACCTTCCATTGTGGGAGAAGAGCGGGATGCCAGCTTCTGGCAAGGAACTCTGGTTCCAGCAACATGACCTGGTCACAGAATCCGTGGGAGAATTCAGGTGTCAGCAAGATCATGCAGTAACTTTCAGGTCTTATGACTACATTGCTGGTGGACTTAGAAGAAAGAGAATTATTAAAAGAGAGCTTTTCTAAGAACTCATCAGTGTGCACAACATATACATTAAATACATAACATGTATGATGTGCTGAGTGCTAGTTTTACAAGGGCCCTGATGGAAGATACCTACCATTGAACAAGATAACTGCTACCTACTGGCCAATAGGCAAGGAGTAGAAAGTATAGACAATGAGAGGAAGGGAAATTCCAAGATTTGCAGTGGTTAGTGTTGTTGAGAGAGATCTTAAAATCGAGGTTAAACTTACACACATGAACAGGAGATCTCGTCCCAGGTAGGAATGATTGACATATAACAAATTCTGAATACTAATTTGTTAATAAGCATTTGAAGTAATTGGAGTGATAGACAAGTATGTTTGGTGGAATAAAAAACTGGCTCTCATTAAGCTTCTTATTGGGAATTCATGGATAGGGAATGAAAGGCCCCACATTTGAGAAAGTCTTAAATGGTAGGGTAAGGATAATCTTTTCCTTTTTCCTAATGAGCTTCCTAAATTAATGTTGTTAGGTGTTCCAGGATACCCACTTTTAAACATTTTTATGAAGTTCCTTGAATTTCTCTATAAATTTTTTCTCATTTTTACCAATTAAATTATGCCCTAAGATAATGAACATTAAATGTTCATCATGTTCCTAGTAACTGTGTCATGTAAGAATTAATGGAAAAATATGTCATTAGCTTTTCTTTTGAATTATGATGGTTTGTGCTGTTGAGTAATGGTAGAAAATAAAAATATTGTAAACATAACCACTCTGTTCCACTCAGAGGATCTAGTAGGATGTGGACGTCAGTAGAACTTGATTGGCTCATTGGTTTAAACTTCATAGAAATAAGATGTGATTGATAGGTACACAGAGTAAGGTGATTGACAGCTGCTGTGCAGGTTGGGTATGGGCTTAATGAGGTAATTAGGTGTTATTGTGAAAGTAGTTCTTAACAAATTTAAGCTCACTCCCTGTTGCTCTCTTGTCTTCTTTTCCCTTTCCCTTCTGCCACGGGATAATACAGCAGGAGGGCTTTGCCTGATGCCAGGACCTTGATCCTGGATTTCTCAGCCTTTAGAACTCTAAATTCTCTGATTTTTATAAATGATCCAGTCTCTGGTATTCTGTTCTAGCAGTAGAAAGTGGACTGTGGCAACAGTTGAAATCACAAAGGAAGGAGTATAACATATAGTCAAGGAAATGCTACTACTGGGCCCACAAAAAAAAAACTAAAGTTCCCGGCAAAAAAAAACAAAAAAAAAAAAAAAATCTTTTCACAACAACTATAAAGCTACATGCCAATGAATAAAGCTAATTCATTGCCTCATAAAGTACACTAAAGTTAACTCAAAATGGATCAAAGACCCAAAATATTAAAATTATAGTAACTATAAAACTCTTAGAAGGAAAAGAAGCAACTCCTTGTGAACTTAATCTAATATTTTTTTTTTACATGCAACAACAAAAGTGCAAACAACAAAGCCCACAAATACAATGGATATCACTAGAATTAACTTTTGTGTTTAAAATGACATCAAGAAAGTGAAAGGGCAATAGCAGGCATGGTTGCACATTGCTGTAATCCCAGCAGATAGAATGCTGAGGCAGGAGGGTATTCGAGGACAGTTTGGGCTACGTAGTGAGTTCAAGGCCGGCCTGAACTCCATAAGGAGACTGTCTCAAGAACCATTCAAAACAAAAAAGTGAAAAAAGCAACCCAGAGAATGATTTTTGTAAGCAACTTATCTAGATTACAAAGAAGAACTATTATGATTCAAATATAAAAAGATAATTTAAATATGGGCAAATGTTTTGAGTACTCATTTCTATAAAAAAAAGATAAGCGAATGGTAGTAATCCCATGAAAAAGTGTGCAACATCATTAGCCATCAGAGAATGCAAATCAAAAGCATGAGATCACATCATATCTAGTAGAATGGCTACAATAAACAAACAATAACAAGTGTTGTAAAAAATGTAGAATAGTTAAAATACTCATGTACTGCTGGTAGGAATATAAACGGTATTGCTGCTTTGGAAAATAGATGATTCTTCATATGGTTAAACATGGTTTTACCATATAGACTGACAATTACACTCTTGGTAATGTACCTAGAGCAATTAAAAACAGGTTCACACAAGAATTTTATGTGAATCTTCAAAGCAGTACTATTTATAGCAGTCAAAAGGCAAAAAGATCCAAACTGCCCATTAACTGGTAGGTAAATGAAGTGTCATATAGCTGTATGATAAAATGCCATTCTGGAAAAAAAAGCAGTGAAAGCAACATACGCTACAGCATGGATAACTTTGAAAACATTATGCTAAGTGAAAAGAGCATAATGCAACACAAAAGGATCACCTAATACATGATTCTATGTATATGATGTGTCCAAAAAGGGGATGTCTACTGGGACAGAGAAATCTTGTATTACAAAAAAAAAAAAATTAACAATTAAGTGATCAACTTTTATATGCAAACTAATTTTAACCAAGATTTCTAAATTTGCTCTCACTGAATAATATTGTCACTAAATACTCATGATGATAAAATCAATACTTTCCCTCTTGTGCCCATGATTCAC